GAACAAAGAATTGTGAGCCTCGGAGGTGTAGTAACAAATTGCGTACTTTGTTCGAGGGCTCCAAAAAAAGGAGTCGAGCATCGATTAAAGGGAGGCTTATAGTGTACTTTGTTCGAGATGAGGATTGTTGAGGATTATTCAATACTATTTCCATTGATACGAGACATTTTGGGGAAACTCAAGTCATGAGAACTTATGCTCAAAGTGGAGAATATCATACAATTGTAGAGAGTCGTGATTCCTAACAAAATTTTGTCGATTAAGCTTTATATTCTATTATTTTTTACGAGAGGTGTTAAAGATAGTATGTCTGTTAAGTTTAGGTAAATATAGAAACTAGTTGAATTACACGTACAGGTGGTTTCGGACGAAGCGAGAGCGATGTATAATGGAGGAATGGCAGGTTTAACGTATTGGAGCCCGAACGTGAACATATTCCGAGACCCACGGTGGGGGCGGGGCCAAGAAACTCCGGGCGAGGATCCAATCTTGGCCGGGAAATACGCGGCCAACTATGTCCGAGGGCTGCAGGGCAATGCTGGAGGGAAGAGGCTTAAGGTGGCTGCTTGTTGTAAGCATTATACTGCCTATGATCTTGACAATTGGAATGGCGTTGACCGGTACCATTTCAACGCTAAGGTATGATATTGGGCTTTTGAAAGCCCATATAGTGAAACGGAAGGCCTTAATGGGCCGAAGCCCATTTCTTCATCCAAATCTTAATGGGCTTTTTGTATGTTGGGCAGGTGAGTAAACAGGATTTAGAGGACACTTATAATGTGCCTTTCAAAGCTTGTGTGGTGGAGGGAAAAGTGGCGAGTGTGATGTGCTCTTATAATCAGGTCAACGGGAAGCCAACTTGTGCTGACCGTGATTTACTCAAAAACACCATCCGGGGCGCTTGGGGGCTTGATGGGTGGGTAGCCATGGTATTGCTATGCACATCGTCACACTTGATTACTGACTTATATTAGGTCTTTTTATTGACGGATGGTCACGTGAAATAGGTATATCGTATCCGATTGCGATTCGGTTGGAGTTTTGTACGATAGCCAACATTTTACTCGCACCCCAGAAGAAGCTGCTGCTTCCACGATCAAAGCCGGTAAGTACTTTTTCTTTTGAAATTGACTCAATTCAACATTAGTGGAGGGTTTGGGTTGGGCTAACTCGACACATATCCAAAAATAGAGGGTTTGGGTTGGATTAGACTGTGAACTCTGTTCCGGCCACCAACCCAAAAAAATTTCGATTGGTTCAAAAAAAAATTATAATATATATATATTTAATAGAAGACCCTAATTGTAGAAATGATTTGCAGGCTTGGACTTGGACTGTGGACCATTCTTGGCGGTGCACACAGCAACAGCGGTGGGAAAAGGACTCCTAAAAGAAGCTGATCTCAACAACGCCTTAGCCAACTTACTTTCCGTCCAAATGAGGCTCGGGATGTTCGACGGCGAGCCCACGGCTCAAACCTACGGCAACTTGGGCCCGAAAGACGTCTGCACGCCGGCCCACAAACAGCTAGCCCTCGAAGCTGCAAGACAAGGCATAGTCCTTCTCAAAAACCGAGCGGCATCTCTACCACTCTCCCCCACGCGCCACCGCACAGTGGCAGTGATTGGCCCAAACTCCGATGCCACCGTCACAATGATCGGGAATTACGCGGGAGTGGCATGTGAATACACTTCGCCGCTACAAGGAATCTCGAAATATGTTAAGACCATCCATCAGAAAGGTTGCACGGACGTGGGGTGTGGTGGGGATCAGCTGATCACTGCGGCGGAGGAGGCTGCGCGTGGGGCAGATGCGGCGGTGCTGGTGGTGGGTTTAGACCAGTCCATTGAAGCGGAGTTTAGAGATAGAAATGGGCTGCTTTTGCCTGGGCATCAACAGGAATTGGTTTCGAGAGTTGCGAGGGCTTGTAGAGGGCCGACCGTGGTGGTTTTGATGTCGGGTGGACCCATTGATGTTTCGTTTGCGAAAAATGATGCCAAAATCAGTGCCATTCTTTGGGTTGGGTATCCCGGTCAAGCCGGTGGCGCAGCCATTGCCGATGTGTTGTTTGGGGCCACTAATCCCGGTACTCATCCATTTCCTCCTTTTAATTTTTTTTAAATTTTGATTTAGACTAAATTAATAAAAATGGTTGGACTAATCCCATGAATTTAAAATCAAAGAATACAACTAAGTCCATAGCTAAGTCAGAAGAGCATAGCTAAGTCAGAAGAGCTTATGCTCAAAGTGGACAATATTATTCGTCTAACATGGTATCAGAGTCATGCCTTAAAACTTAGTCATGCCAATAGATTAGTAAATCCTCAAATGTCGAACAAATGACTCCAAAAGAAAAAAGAGTCGAGCCTTCTCGAATGGATGGTGAAAGTCCCACTTCTACTAATTTAAGAAATGATCATGGGTTCCTCCTAGACGATGAAAGTCCCACATCCGCTAATTTAGGGAATGATCATGGGTTCCTCCTGGACGATGAAAGTCCACATTGTTGGATTATAAAAGTCTCACATCAACTAATTTAGGGAATGATCATTGGTTTATAAGTGAGGAATACTAACTCAATTGGGGAGAAGCCCAAATCAAAGTTATGAGAGCTTATGCTCAAAGTGGATAACACACACCATTGTAGAGAGTCGTATTCGTCTAACAAAAATATTTTCTAAAATTTTATAAATTCTAAGAATCAAATAGCTATTAAATTCACCCTTTTAAAATTTGTAGCTTCTATATTAACGATCTCGTGGAATTCTTCAGGAGGAAAATTGCCAATGACTTGGTACCCACAGAGCTACCTGGCGAAGGTCCCAATGACAAATATGGGCCTAAGACCCGACCCATCAACCGGCTATCCGGGTCGAACCTACCGGTTCTACAAGGGCCCAGTCGTCTTCCCATTCGGGTTCGGTTTAAGCTACTCAAAATTCTCCCATTCCATAGCCGAAGCCCCAACAAGAATCTCAATTCCTCTCTCGAATTTCTCTCCCAATTCCACCTCCTCTTTCGACGCAATCAAAGTCTTACACATCGATTGCGCCGCCATCTCCGATCTCGGCCTTCAAATCGACGTCAAGAACACCGGAACCGCCGATGGATCTCACACCATTCTTGTATTCGCCTCGGCTTCAAATGAGATCTGGTCGCCGGAAAAGCACTTGATCGGATTCGAAAAGGTTCATCTGATGGCCGGATCTCTGCAGCGAGTTCGAATCGGAATCCGTGTTTGCGATCATCTCAGCCGAGTCGATCGGTTTGGAACTCGAAGAATTCCGACTGGTAAGCATAAACTCCATATTGGAGATCTAAATCATTTGATTTCTCTTCACGCTGATTTAAAGAATATTAAATTCTGATCGAGTATGAACAATGTCGAAATGTTGATGGTGTTTTGCCCTAATTACGTAAAGCTAAATTATAGAATTGATCGTGGATAAAATCAATTAGGTTGAAGAAGAATGGGGGGATGATTGATTGTGAAGAAATTTGGAATGATAATCGTGTTCAATGTTAAGAAGTGCTATATTATAAAATTAGTATTTAGTACAAAATTTCAAACATTTTTAACAAAAATAGAATGTTTGAAATCAAATATATGTGTTCTAGGTAAGATTTCACTGCTTAATTTTACACCATTAATTATTGTCAGATATTTTATTTTTATTAAACTAAATTATTAAAACAATTTTAACCAAATAAATTATATAATGCATTTAAATTATTTTTTTATAACTTTAAATATATATATATATACACACAAAATTTAAAATGAGATCCACAGAACATACAAAACCTAAAATTAATGTGGAATATAAATAATAAAAATTAAAAAGTTACCGACTCTAATTTTTTCTCTCGGAATTGTTGCATTCGGTTGGTTGTATATATATATATATATATATATATATGCTTTTTCTCGAAGTTGGATCCGCCTAACTTTCAAAATAACACGTGTTTATTTATTGACCACGAATTTCAAACGGCATTTTTATTTCTCGAAGTTGGATCCGTCAAAACAATAGGGAATTTGATATTTATTTTTAATTTCTATAATCATTTAAACTTACTTTTTAAATTATAAATTTATTCTCCTATTTCAAATATATTTTTAGAAATTATATATAAACTTGTTATTTTAACCATTTTAGATATAAAAAAATGTAGAAATAAAAAAAATATATATATATATAAATAAATAAATAAAACCATATACTTCTAATTTGGCTTTGTCTAACTTGTATTTATTTTTATTTATTTCCAATAACCGAAAAATTACATTTGAAGTCTTTTATCTGTTTTTTTCCGAGGCAAATATTTTGTGTTGGATTAAAAAAAATATATTATCGTTGAGTTATATTCATTTTAGTCACTTCAATTACTAATTGTCTTGAATTACTTTTTAAAATTCTTTCGTATGCTTTATCTTTGTCCAAAAAGTAAAATGTACTTTGTTGATATCATTTCATTCATATTCATATAAAAACTACACTTTATAGCCATTTCGGGGGTTCTCATAAAGGAACTGTCCGACGACATCTCTTATCTCAATGACACCACACCGTAGAGTTGCACCGCTTGTGGAACAAGAATCTGAGCTCCAAGAGACGAATCAATTTTTTTCATTCTCAATGATAAATTAAACTTCTAGAAAAAATGATAGACGCACAACGCAATTTCACAATCAATATCGAAATGGCGAAAGAATCGTGTGGCGCGGGCAATCGCACATATGAAATTGAGCACAATTTTGCAAAGAAATAGTCCACTTGTTTCTCGAAAAAACCATTGTTCAACTCTTTGACAACATGAAAAAAAACCCGAAAAAGCTCTGCTTCTTTTTAGATAATTGTAAATATATATATTATTTATTTATTTATTAAAAAATTGACTAATGTCACCGACATTTTTTTAATTTCAAATATTGCGTAAATATTTTTAAAAAACTGAAAAAGTATATAACCTCAAAACGATCCTTTTACAAATTCGTGTGAGATATCCTCTTTACTCAACCGCCCGTTATTTTTCTCCCCTTTCCACATCTATCCATTTCTTCATTTCATTTCATCTCTCCCTCGCCGCTTCCGCTCTCTCTCTCTCTCTCTCTCTCAAGGTACGAACTCCTCTCTCTAGAATTCGTTCTTCCTTTTCGCCATGGCCGAACTCGAACGAAATCGATTCATCGATCAAATAAAGTTCGATTTCAGAGCGAGTCGTTGCCCTAAGATGACTCGGCCGAGTCGAGTCGAGTCGAGTTCAGTTTTTGTTTATGAATCGGTGAATTTCTTCATCCGTTTGGTTAACTATGGCGGCGTTCTTGATTTCGTTTCTTTTTTCTTACAGGAAATCAAATATGGCGGATCATCAAAGAGACGGAGAAGAAAACTCCTTCCCCTTCCGTCAAAACCAGGTACATTCAATTCAATTTATTTTTCATCTTTTATTAATTTATTTAGAAAATTAAAATTTTATGAATTTATTGACGACAAATATAAAAATTTAATTTTTTTTAAATATTGTATTTAACAAATTTTTTAATTTTTAAAAATGAAAAGTAAAATTTAAACCTAACCTAATTTAATATTTAACCGCTATATAATTTAGTGTTTAATACTTTTATTAATTTTAGTAAAATATTAATGATGGCGATAAAAACATACATACATATATACATACATATATATACATATACATATACATATACATATATATATATATATATATATATATATATATTTTGTTTTTTTGTGAAAAAGAAAGAGAAAAAAAATGCCAAATACGTGACCGCCAATGAATTTTGCGCGGCTATAGTTAGTGGGCCCCATAACTATTCCGTAGTTTATTTTGATGAAAAAATTATTCAATCTATTTTAATATTTACAGTGTCACGTGGTAATAAAAATTGAAAACTGAAAACTTATAATTTTTGGAATCACATATATTTATAAGATATAATATTGTCCACTTTGACCATAAGCTTTAATGAATACCGATGAGATAATATTCCTCATTTATAAACTTATGATCTTCCACTAAATTAACCAATGTATAGGACTTAGTCCCAATCATCCTCAACGTTATGAATGGAATGGTTGGTTGACATAATTATAATGTATTATTCCTTCTTAAAATATTACGATTTTGTATCTTTATTTTTAATAAAAAAAACAATCTTGACTTAAAAAACAGATAAAAAAAAAGCGGAAAAAAGTTACTTGCTTCCCTCTCAAGTGAGTAAGTTTCTTTGAGTTGAAGTTAGCCGTAAATATATTTTTGCTTAAAAGCTTTGTTGTTGGAGTAATAAATATGGTAAATGATGTCATGTTTACCTTTTAATTTTTTACGAAGGTTTTTCGAGTTAAGCTATCTAGGGGTATAATTGAAATTTGTCTCAAAATTTACGAGTAATTTTTAGGATTTAATGTAAATATTATTGAGGTTTATATGGTAAAAAGTAAATTAAATACAGGAAGCAACGGCAGGAAGTGGGAACAGATATGGAGGACTTGCCCCAAAGAAGAAGCCATTGATTTCAAAGGTAATAATAATAAATGAGTGGTTAGCCTTTGGGGCTTTGTGACTCCATTTGCTTACATAATTTGGGGTTTGTATAGGACCATGAACGAGCCTTCTTTGACTCTGCTGATTGGGCATTATGCAAGGTACCCTTTTCATCCCACACTTTTTTATGATCGGATTGAGTTAGATTTTTTAGAACTAGATGATTCGATTCAGTTTGCGGGTTAAAAAACCAATTTTCTAGTTCAACGATTTTTCTCTTTTCGCAGCCAAAACTAGTCACTTGTCTTGATCTCTCTCTCTCTTTCTCTCGTTTACTCGTCATGACCACGAGTCTCTTGACATTGTGTTGTCAAGTTCGTCGGCATTTGATATCTTTCATCATCTACGAGTTCTCGAATATCAAATATTTTTTGTCTTGTGCTCCATCTGACCCTAATAAAAAAAATGAAAAGACCAGTTTAAGCCCAATAAAGAAAGAAAAGATGGAAGCTCGAAAGTATAAGAGCTAGTTTTAGGTTGAATTGTCCTCTTTAGCTAGTTACTCGAGTTGAGAATCGATTGAAGAAAAGGAAAATTTGAATTGTTTGTGTGTGGTGTTGTAAGCAGCAAGGAGCAGGGCTCTGTAACAGTGTGGCCGTAGAAAAGCTCCAGCCTAAACTTCAGGTGATCATATGTCTTCCATAATTATTTATTATTATTATTAGTGTTTTTTTTTTTTTTTGTGAATTTAGGCTAAATTAAAAATAATATTTTTTTTTTTGTAACTTCACATTTTTTTTTAAATATATCTATAAAATTTTAAATTTTTTGATAATACCTTAAAATTGGAAAAAAAAAAAATCTCAAAATAACTTAAAAGAAAAATTGGATTAAAATAGTTAATGTTTTATTTATGCCTTTAAACTATTAATACTCAAATACTGTCGATTAGTTTCACATTTTATAAATATTCATAAATTATGTTATGAAGTTTCTGATTTTTATTTTTATTTTTATTTTTTTAAAGTAAAGATGTTAATATTACGTTTAAAATTTAACAAATATTTTAAAAATATAATATTAAAGGTAAGAATATTTTATTTTTATATTAATAAAACTTTTTTATTTTTATTTTTATTTTTATAATTACCAGAGGACTCCAAAGCCACGGGTTCCACCAAGGAGGCCGGTATGCACATATGAGAAGGGCAATACTGTAAGGAAAAAAATACCGATTTAAAGCTTAATTGTTTATTTTCTAATGATAAAACTTTATTTATTATTTTTTCTTCCAGTAAAAATTGACTTTGAGTTTTATGGTAACGCAGGTAGAATAGATTATTAAAAGGCTACGTGACATCTTAGAGGAGAACATCTTTGGAAGCATTGATTTTTTTTTTTTTTTTAATTTTTTTATGAAATTTGTTGCAATTATTTGTATCGTCGAAATCGAATTTGAGATATTTCATGATTTTAATTTTTAAATTGATTAATAGTTTTAAAAAGTTTAAATTTGTAATTTAACGTTAGAAAATTTACGTTTATATGATCTGTTTAAAGATGATCTATTAATGGGTTTAAGTTCGAGATTTAAACTTTTGATAAGTAAGCAATATCTCGATCTATTTCCTTAAAAAAATTATTTATTTATATGGCCAATTATGTGTATATGTATATATATAAAATACGGTTTATCTTTAATTATTATTGAACTAAATGTGATTTTTATATAATTAGAAACAATTTTAAAATTTTCAGACTTTTAAAAATGTTTAACTTTATAATTAATAATTTTTTAATTTTATTTTTAAATAATATTTGACTTTTCATTTTTATAAATTTGAAAGTATAGAGAGAGATTTTAAACCAAAATAAATATTTATTTTTATTATTATTATTATTATTTTTTTTAAGGGAAGTAAGTAAACAGTATCTCATGGCCGAAGTAGAAAGAAAATGACTAAAAAGGTCTACAGCGGAGGGAAAGATATTCTCGCACAAAACTACATGTCGAAAATTGGTACGACAGATCGTTTATAACGAAGGACGGGTCCTGGTTGCATCAAGGAATCGCGTGTGGCGTGAGAAGTCAAAAACGAGCACGGTGGCGAGTCGCGTTTGTGAATTCGCCTCTCGAAAATTTCACGGCCAAAGCCCGCGCGCCCTCTCCTGCAGGCTGCAACCTCATCATGTTTGTATTTGAGTGACAGCTTCAACTTCAATTCTTCAGCCCCAAATAATCTGGTTTAGATTCACCGTTCATAAAGGAGTTTCTACGGGGAGTTCTTCAGATTGATTGCTAGCTTTTGCCTTCAATTGAAAATGAAAATCAACATCGATAGGGAGGCACGAAAAGTTGCGGTTGATAATCGAATTCCTCTCCGGAATTACTTTCGGATCGCCGATAATCTCTTAAAACAGGTGATCTTTTCGGAACTGTTATTCGTAATTGTTCTAATTGATTATTGATGCTGAATTGTTAATAGTTGATTATTAATTAGAAGTTCTGCTAATTTTCGTTTCTTTCTCTATATTTGGATGTTGAAGTGATCTTCAATGCAGTTTTCTTTATCGGTGGTTTAAGTATTATAATTGCGCACTAATTGTCATGGATCCATTTCTACTTGCCTCTCATTGTATTTTGATGTTATTGAGTTGTTTTCCTTAAAATGGCAGGCTGATATTTATCGGGAGGAGAATAATGTTGTGGATTTGTTCATTATACTTCTTAGGTTTTCAAGGTAAGGATATGGTTGATACTTGTGTTTTCCATTGCCTGGAGATGCCGATTCTTTGTGTAGGGAACACGCTTCTCAACTTGTTCTTGTTTTCTCAGCTTGGTTTCCGAAACCATACCACGGCATCGTGATTACCAGGCTTTTTTCCCAAAGGAGAAGATTTTTTATAAAAAGGTGAGTTAAAACGCCACATCTCGCTCCTTTTTTCAAGAACGGTGTATGAATGTTGTGTAATATTGTTTCATGTTGTCCTACTAGAAACTGCTGAGTGTAGTAGATGAACTTGAGTCCTTGAAACCTGAATTTGATCGCCGAGTAAATGAACTGGAGAAAGTGTCTGGACGGCCTCGTCTTCCTCCATCCGATGAGCAGGGAGGAGTTTCAAACAGTCTGCGTCCGTCTTCTATGATACAGCCCTATGCAAATGGAAACTATTCATTGGTCTTGGATCAAAAGCAGGTACCAACTCAAATTTTTTTAATGATGCTTTCTATTCTTGTAAGTGTATCAATCGTTCATGGAAATTCCACCAATTATTTAGGTTTTTTATTTAATTCTTGTTGTTTACAGTTTCTGTTCTTTTATTACTTACAAATTTTCCCATGGACATGTGATTATTGTTATATTGCTTGTGATTTAACTCTAGTATCACATCCTCCCCTCTCCTCTTGATTCTTAGCATGCCAATTCACAGCCACAATCTTCATGGAGGTATCATGATGGCCGAGGTCAAGTTTCTCAATCAAGTTACTCAAGGATTGAGAATAGGTTATCAAATCTGTGAGTATAATTTTTTGCCCATTTATTTCGTACCTGTTTATATGAATCCATTAACAGCATATTAGTACACACTCCTCTGATGATGTATGGAGTTAATTCATTCCAATATTTATGTTTTAGTGTGAGCCAAAAGGTCATTTTGTAGTTTATGTAGCTAGTTAGAGTTGAAGTCAGAAACTTCAATGGCTACAACTTGACTCTTAACCTAGTTGATAAAAAAAAAAAAAAAAGAAAGTATGTTGATGTGAGATCGCACATCGATTGGAGAGGGAAATGAGTGCTAGCGAGGATGCTGGGCCTTGAAGGGGGGTGGATTGTGAGATCCCACATTGGTTGGAGAGGGGAACGAAACATTCTTTATAAGGGTGTGGAAACCTCTTCCTAGCAGACGCGGAAGCCCAGAAGGGAAAACCCAAAGAGAATAATATCTGCTGGTGGTGGGCCTGGGCCGTTATAGTTGATGATGTCAAAGTTCTTCTGCAACTGGTGTCATGTTTGAATAGGACAATGTCTTCAGCACAAGTGCTATAAATAATATATTGTCATATCTTGAATGTTTGTGTCTTCTTCTCCGATGGAGGCCATAAAAATTCAATTCTGGGTGTATATCTAGTAACCTGTTCTAATAAACATGCATGAATGATCTTATAATTGGTGCTGGGAATTTGCAGGTCTCTTAATGTACCACTTCCTAAACCCGAAACTCTGTCTAGACACTCTATTTTGGGACCTAGTGGTTTTCAGGGCCAATGGAAGGGGCCAAGTACAGATAAGGTGAGTTTTTTGCACATTCTTTTTAATTTTGTTGTTTTCTCTTGTTTCTGCCAATTGTGATATCCATAACTGGTTAATCCTATTGTTGTGTACAGATTCACTATCCAAGAAATCAGGACTTTACTCCTTTAGATTCAAGGTTAGAGGCGTGTATAACTTGTATAACTATCTGCAAATTTTAAAATTTTCGTCTTCTGTGTTTTTAATGTTTACTTTCCTGATGACAAACACGTAATGATATTAATATCTTGGTATTGTTGCTTTACTTTTACTTTGATCATCTTTTCTTGAAATATTCATGTGGAACGTTCGAATTCTTTCAGACTGAATCAAATTGAACAATGTGATCTAGTGGCGCATAAAGATAGTGGTCCAGGAGGTGTCATGTCGATGATGGAATCAGTGCTCTCACTAGATGATGGTAGATGGCCTCATCCTGCAGACATTTCTATTACTCCATTGATTACAGAAGTAAGGGAGGATCCTTTCCCATTGGTTAAACAACCTTCTCCTCCTCCTGTTCTTGCAAAGGTTCAGCAGGAATATGCGACAATTCCCCCATCTAAAGTTGCGGATCCAAGGCCTGGAGTGGCAAAACAATCGTTGGATGAGTCTGAGTCGTTCCAACGTTTACACATTGTAGGCCTTTTCCTTTTCATTTTCGTTATATAACTTCAAAAGGCAATTAATTGTTCACTAGTTTCTTTTGCTATGTAGTAATTCCTTTTGTCATATCTATGCTGCAAACATGTATACCTTGCAATATGATATTGGTTACTTTTACTCATTCCCGCAGCCAGTAAAAATGCTGGATGATTTCTTGAGATTGGCTCGAGAAAATACAAATAAGAATCTGGAGACTTGTGGTGTTCTAGCTGGCTCTCTGGTAAGGAGCAATGTAACGGTTTAATGTTCGTTTTTTTTTTTGTAAAGATTTTCTTATATTGCTCTCATACTTCATCATATGTTTGCAGAAAAACAGGGTTTTTTACATATCTACGCTCATAATCCCAAAGCAAGAATCAACATCAGATTCCGTAAGAATATAATTACTTTTCATCTGTTTCAAGTTTAAATTAGCCATTCCTTCCATGCCATTGATTTTCACTACTTTTGAATTCTGGTTTTCATTTGACTGTTGATTAGGTTGTGCATATGTTTGAGCTTTAATTGTTTTATATTGTTCATCTTTTGTTACTTTATGTACATCCCTATGCTATTGATTCGTATATGGTAATAACTGACTTGAGGATTACTTGATTTAGCTTCAGCTAGTTACGACTGTTGCCTTTAATCAAAACTTAGAAATCATTTTTTGTAATGTTCAGTGCCAGACGTTGAATGAAGAGGAAATATTCGAGGTTCAAGACAGATTATCACTTTTTCCCCTTGGTTGGATCCATGTAAGCTTTCTGGCTCTCTATGCAATAGATAGTTTATGATTACAGAATTTGGGAACACAAACTTAGAAAAATTGTGATGATTATCTGACTTCTATTGGTGCTTCGTAAGTAATCTGCCTTTGTATTTACTGTTCATCATATTTTCTCCATAGTCTCAATATGAATACGGATAGAACAGGACGAACAACCACGTATAGACAAACATAACTACCCTAGAGATAAACGTAAATCAACGGAGATACCTACAAGATAACTGTCTATAACCACCCATAACAGCTCAAAACCACCCGAAATACTGACTTTTCTCACCCTTTCTAGTCTTCTTCACAATCTTATCCTCGTAGAATAGTTGTGATGGGCTTGAGGTCTAACGGACGCTGGTTTTGCTCCTCTCATAGGAATCAGTAGGATACTCATCTGATTATATTGTGTGATTTGTATTTTATAATTCACCCTTTCAGTAGTCCGTCATGTGATTTGTATTTTGTATTTGTATTTTATGTGCAGAACTTCAAGGAATATGTAAACAGGGAGACATCAGTTTGTATTAAAATTGTTATCATACACTAGCTTATCGGATTTTATTTGGATTGAGCAGTCCACTTACTTCTTACTATCCTGAACAACCGTCCTTGCATTGTGTTACTTAAGTTGACTTGCTCTGTAGAAATGTCTTGAGATAAATGCTCTAAATAAAACTGGAATTTTTGTTCTTGAGAATATAGAAATTTTCGGTTTTTAACGTTTCGATTTGGTCGTATTTCTTGTCCCTGATTCTTGTTTGATTCTCAGACACATCCATCACAAACCTGTTTCATGTCATCTGTGGATTTGCACACGCATTACTCGTACCAGGTAAGATGACAATTCTACCCATTTTTGTTATTCAGAACAATCTCTTCTCTTTCTTTCTTTTTTTTTTTTTTTTTTTGAGTGTCCAATCAAAGAACAGGTTTGGTCATTTTGGTAATGTAGAAAGTTTGCATCATGAAATAGAAGTTCCAACTTGTGAAGACATTAACCATTACAATCAACGGAAAAGCTTTGTGGTTTTGCCTGTTTGCATTATTTGTTCTTCCTGTTCTAGTTTCTTTGGCCTCTTTTAAGGAGATTTTCGCTTCTTCAGATTATGCTACCAGAAGCGATTGCAATCGTCATGGCTCCGACTGATGCGTCAAGGTGTTCTTTCTCCTCCATTCATTCAACATTCACCGTTCTCAATTCTCTGACTTGTATTTGTATCATTGTGCAGCCCATATGGAATATTTCATTTGTCCGATCCAGGTGGCGTGTCGGTCATCCGCAACTGCCAACAGCGTGGATTTCATCCCCACGAAGAGCCTGAAGATGGGAGTCCACTCTATGAGCACTGCTCTCATGTTTTAATGAATCCGAATGCGAAGTTTGACGTTATCGATTTGAGGTAAGATTTCAATGGCTGAAATTACTTAAAGGAAGAACTTGTATAGCACCATGGAATTGGGTTAAAGCTTCACTCACCCACTCCAACGACTGCTCTGTAAATTTTGTAATTTACAAATCCAGTTGAGTTACTTCCATTGTTGGGAGACTTCAGGTAGTGGCCATGACGCCATTGTTGTGCCGAGATCTCACTGCTTGAAGGCTTCTCTTTGTTGAAAGAATAGCCTAAGTTATATAAATATAGATGACGACTTCATTTCTTTTAATGCCTGAGCGGTTTTTTCCTTCTTTACATGTAATCTTCTGTTGTTATTTGTGATTATATTATTTTGGGTTATAATGCATCTCTACCTTTTTTAACTTTTTCTTAACAAGTTATAGGTTTAAATCTCCGTGCCCTAGTCGTCGGTTTGATTTACGACGCCTCAAATTCCAGTTATTGTTATTTTCGGGTCAAAGGAAAACACACTTTTAACTCCCTTCCTTTCTTCAATTTGATTAAATTATACAAAATATTCGGTACGTTTTAGTTGTGTCTCTAAATTTTGATAAATTTGATCTTAAACCTCGAAATTTGTTTCAAAAAGTATTTTTTGACTCTTAATTTCTTCTCGTTGAATAGAGGATGGATATTGGCACGGTGGTAGTTGACGTGAAAATATGATGTATTTAATTTTATTTTTAAAAGCTATATAGAAAATGAAGATTGTAATTACTGTTTAGTTAAATTTTATTTTATTTATTTAGCTTCTAAACTTTAATTTTTTTTTTTAATATCTCTAATATTTATTTGGTTTCTAAATTATGAAAAGGCTTTTTTGTTTAATAAAACTTTGGACTTATTTAATGTATTTTTAAAATTTATGAATTTAAAGCTACTATTAGATATAAAATTTAATTTATTTAATTTTAAATATTTTAATACTCGATAGACAAATGAAAATTAAAAATTAAAAAATTTGGCATTCTAATTTATGTTTTGAGATTAACTTTTCTTATAATATTGATGGAAAAGCTAATATCTAAGGGTCAGCTAAGAATTTATGATTTGAAGCAAAAAAAAATAATATTGACACGTGGGAAATGTAAGAGAAAATATAGGGTCCATTATTAATGAGCAACCTAGGGATGACGTGGCACCTCCAAAATTGCACGCCATAAATTAGGCTCCACAATTCTATAGGGAATTCTTCACGAACGATTAAGGCTTAGAATGGAAATAGGACAAAATTAAATTAGAATATATATATTAGAATTAGGACCACATTCTACATATTGCATTTTTTTAAATTATGCATAAGAATTATATTTATTATTGATGTGTTTTTTTTTTTTTTTTTTACTGATTTATTGAATGATAATTAATTATGATTTTCTAAAAATCAACAATTATGTATAAATTGATGTAGCCTAAAATGAAAAAATTAACGTGACACAATATTTAATAATAAATGAAATTATAATTTTTAAGATAAGGTCTTGCAAATAATATTTGAAAGAATCCAAATTTAGGAATGATTTTGAATTTTAGTATAAAGTTGACGGATCCAAAACAAAATTATATATATATAATTTAGCACTTAGCTCTAATTTTCTAATTTCTTATGTGTCTATTCTACTTGCGAAAATAGGTTAGATTAACATCGACATGGGGGCGAAAAAAGGAAAGAGAGGGATGAGGGAACAACAGCTGGAAACGACTGCTAATACCCCGTATACTGAGGAGCAAAAGTAGGAATCCGTCCGAAAAGGGTTCACATCTGATTAGCTAGTTGGTGAAGCAATAGCTTACCAAGGCGATGATCAGTAGTTGGTTCGAGAGGATGATCAGCCACATTGGGATTGAAACACACCCCAGACTCCTACAGGAGACAACAGTGGGGAATTTTCCGTAACGGGCGAAAGGCTAACAGATCAATGCCACGTGGAGGTAGAAGGCCTATCCTACTTGCGAAAATAGGTTAGATTAAAAAAAAAACATTTAATTTTGTATTTTATCTCAAAAATATCTTTAATACAATACCCTTAATTTTTTTTAAAAAAAAATTAAACATAGAATTATTTATTAAATTAAAATGATATTACTAAATCCAAATCATAAATGTCAGATTTAGTTTAATTTTTGTCTGGTTAGATTGGATTGAATTTTTTAAAAATCGAAAATACCAGGTAGTTTGCTAGTTGACATTTTTTTTGTTGGGTGGCCGATGAAAAAAAGGTTATAAGCTAATCTTAATTATTATAAAAATTAAAAATATTTAACATTTGTAACCGAGATTAGTAATGCATAGTGACTCGTAAATGTTTGATATTTGAGTTTTAAGTCATTAATGTAACATGTATCGTGGATAAATAGTATTTTTTAAATAATAATAAAAAAAATCAAACAATCCAACTCAACCAATCCGAAATGTCAAGTTGGTCTGATTTGGTCAATCCAATCTAACGGGTGGACTTCCGTAATAAAAATAAAAAATAATGGAAATTCAAAGCTTTTTGGTCCATTTAAATTGATTAAAATAGATATTAGACTTAATAATTATTGGCTAAAAAATAAAAAGAAAAAAGAAAAAAAAAAGAATTAAAGAAGACTGAATTAAATTAGACTATAAGGGCAAATTTGTCCTCGAGAATTTTTAGGGTCTCTAAACTTCAATGGCACTGCCAATTAAAATTGCTTTATATAAACGAATAGGTTCATAGACTCATAGCTTAGCCATTTTCATTGCTAAAGCTTAGTCGTACTGCTGCCTCTTCCATTCACGAGCATTTCCACTATTTCAAAGTGAGAGAGAGAGAGATCTTCCATTGATGTGGCTTGTGGAGGAAGATGAAGAGACTCTGTAAGGCGTTGTGAGAAAGTTTTGTCGATCTTATTTGAGGCAGTGTTGTTTAGTTTAAGAGGATGGGGAAAACGCCGTGCTGTGCGAAGGAAGGGCTGAGAAGAGGCCGTTGGACGGCGGAGGAAGATGATAAACTGAAGAAGTATATCGAAGCGAACGGAGAAGGTTCATGGAAATCGTTGCCGAAGAATGCCGGTGAGATTGATTTTGATTTTTTGTGCAATTCCTCTGGTTGTTCTATCTGAGACTGTGAATTAATTGATCTGAAACTGCTTCTCGTTCTATCTGAGACTGAATTTATTGATCTGAAACTGTTTCTTCTTGTTCTATCTGAGATTATGAATTAATCTGAAATTGCTTCTTCTAGTTCTATGTGAGAATATGAACTGATCCGAGTATATGCGCGTGAAAATTTAGGGCTGTTGAGGTGTGGAAAGAGTTGTAGGTTGAGATGGATTAATTACTTGAGAACGGATTTGAAGAGAGGGAACATCACTCCTCAAGAAGACGAAACTATTCTCAAGTTGCACACAACTTTGGGCAACCGGTTCGTCTCTCTCTCTCTCCTCTCTCTTTTTGCTCTCACATTATTTTCTCTCTCTTAATTAAGCATGGAATTTCTTGCGCATCTCATTGCCATTCTTTTCAAAACAGTTTCACTGCCCGATTATAATTATTGATGAAATAATCGCTTAGGTTTTAATTGGAGTATAAAATTTCAAATAAACGGCATTTGTATGAGGTAATCACCATTTGAAACTCCAAACAACTGACATTTTGCTTTGTTGTTCTTGTCTAATCGTTCTCTTCTTGATCATCATACCTTTTTTTTTTGGCACATTTGAACTTTTAATTTCATTTTCTTTATTCTATTTTTTTGTACTATTATTTTTTCCACTTCTGATTTTCATTTTGAGCTTTACAACTGACAACTTCATTGTTCTGGTCTAAGTCGGTACTTTCTTGAGGATAATCATTCTTTTGGCACATTCGATCCTTTTCTTTAAATTTTTTTTCTCCTTTTTTCCCTTCTTTTTGAGATTCTCATTTGAAGCTTCACTAACTGACTTCTAATTTGTTGTTCTTGTCCACATCGTTCTCTCTCTTTTTTAATCATCATAATCAGTTTTTAGGCACATTTTAACTTGTTTTTATTATATTTACGATTTTGCAAAATATTATTATGTCTATTATAGACAGAATCTCGATGCATGACTCATACATATAGTATTAAAGAATTTAGTCAAGTTATGGACAGAAAACGATAAATTTGTTTTGCACATTTTTTAAAATTTTATAGTGTATTCATTAATAACTTCTCATAGGACATGTTTATGAACTTTAAAGAAATTCGTCTTTGGATAATAACATGAAATTTGTTTTGAAACAGTTGAACTTGAAAATGAATTTACGCTAAAAAGAACGAAAAGCAGAGAAACTCTGGAAGAGATCCCAAAGTAAGTTAAGAAAAAGTAATTGAAAAGGACAAAAAAGAAAAATAGCAAACTATCATTTAAGGGTGATAAAAGATGTTAGAAATAAGGTTTTGTTTTTGTTTTTGTCTTTTTTTACTCCAATATGAAGGTCACTCATGGTAACATACCAATGTTTATTAGAATTGCATAGTTCTTTGAGTTATAATGCTCTTCATAAATTCATTAGTTTTTGCATAAAATTAAATTTGACAAATTCATTACTAAACTATGAAATAATTTTTTTTAATTCATAAGTTTTAATTAAAAATCTAATTTTAATGTTGTTTTTTTTTCCTAATTTAAATTTAACTTTAATTGTACTCATGTTTTGTAACTCATGAAATTGAGGCAATTTGATGAACTTGAAAGTTAAAATTAAAATTGATACCACCACTCATAATTAATTTATTTTCTCTCTCTAAAAAATTGGTTGTTTTTTGTTTTTTGTTTTTTTTTATTCGGTTAAAATATAAATTTGATTCTCTTGCTTGTTTATTCTAATTGTCTCTTGATTCCTATTTTTTTTCTTCATAAATCTTAAATTAGTGTGTATTATTAGTATTGTTAACATTTTAAAAAAATTATTAAATGAAAATTATTATTATTATTATTAGAGTTCAAAAAAAAAAAAAAAAAACTTATTAAAAGTTTAAAATATATTAATCAAATTTAAACATTCACATTAAAATGAGATTTTTAAGTTTTAACTTTTGGGTTTATTTAATTATAAACTTATAGTTTTAAGTTTAATAAATTTAAAAAATTTAAAATAACTAATTTAATTTAAAATTAAGATATATGTTTATAAAACAATAAAATTTTATAAATATCTATATTAAATTCAATAACCTTTTAAATTCATAAACTAAATTTATTTAATTTTGGTTGTAAATTAATGAGTGTCGTCTTTTAGTCTTTTCACGCTTTCATATTAAATGGCGTGACATTATAAAGAAAGATAATAAAATTATTATTTTTTTTTTTTTTCAAAAAAAGGACACGACCACGTGTAACACATTTTCCATGTAATGCCATAAAGATTTCCTTTTTGTGTTGGGCTCACGGGCCTAAAGCTAGAAAGGAGGCATCACTTTCATGCCCTTTCGAATTGCGTGTCTCATCATCCTCCTCTTTAAAACAATCAAATATGCTATTATTTATTTTTATTTTTATTTTTGTCGGAGGGAGAATTTTCTCTTTTAGTAATTATTATTGGTATTTTTGGTAATATTTCAACTTTCCACACGTGTGGTCATTTAGTGGTTAGCTCATTCATGGATGCCAGCTAATTATAGAGTACTGGGCCTCTTCAATTAATTAGTTAGCTTAATAAATCGTCTAGAGCTCATAAACTTATTTATTTTACTTCATTTGTTATGTTATTCATTTTCTTTTGGTCATCATTTAAGTATTATTTTTTTAGTATATATATATTTTTTTAAATTTAAAATTTTTCGTTATATTTTTTTCAATAAATCTTCAAATTGGTCATTATACACTTAGCTTTTATATTTGAGAAGCGAAATTTATTATTATATTTTTTTCCTATATGTTAAAATTTGAGGTAAGAATAAAATTTTTTATTTGTTATCTCAAGAAAATATGATAATTTTAGATAAGTATTGAATGTGATAGTATATCTTTGTTTGGTGTAATGTTGTAGAGTCAATCGCTTTCTTACCTACTGTCCTTTTTTGGAAGGAGTTTCGATAATAGCTCGAGAAATAATTATGAATTACTATTGCATGCTAAAAATAACTAATTTGTTTTTTTTTTAATTAAAATACTATTTTTCATATTTATTTATTTTTTTCACTTTATTTTAATCCCTTTACATAAAAATTCGTTCTCAATTTTTGTTCTCTTAATGCAATAAATAGAGATAGGAAGATTAAGCCAATACATCTAAATTTAGTCACAATTATAGTTGGAGAAAGGTAATTTTATGACTTTAAAAATAAGAATTTCTACTTTATTTTATAAATACTATGGCTTGTGGAATTCTAATTAATGTTCTATTTATGAGCGTTATTATCGAAAAATTTAATCTAAGATTAATCATCCTGCAATAAGAGATATAAAAGAGGACAGGTTTGATTAACACGAACTAAAATTTAATGTAAAAATTATTAAACCCTTTAATTTATCAATAAAACCATACTTCTTAAATATAAGGAATTTTCCTATTTTTTTGTTCCCTGTACCAAATCCTGACTTCTTTTTCAAATTATTTAAAACCAAAAAACTGCTACCAAAATCCATACTTTTTTTTTCTTTCAGAATCAGAACAGAATAATAATGAAAATAAAAATAAAATTCTATTTTTTTTTTTCCTTCTGCTCATGCAATAAATTGTGGATGATTTGGTGTAGGTGGTCACTAATTGCTGGACATTTACCCGGACGAACAGATAACGAAATAAAAAACTACTGGAATTCTCATTTAAGTAAGAAACTCTACAGCTCCCCTAAAAAGAATTCTGGCATTCCAAAGCGAACCACCAGCCGCCGAGGTCAACAACCAAGCAGCATCAAACCATCTATTTTACAGAAGAAGAACATGAAGAAGGCCATACCAAAAGAAGAAGGTTCCCAACCTAATTCCATACCTGAGGGACCTGAAACATCCAAGCCTAGTCAAGAAGAAGAAGAAGAAGAAGAACAGGCTACCACCACTTCTCGATTGGACTGTGACGATGAGGAGAAAAAACTAGAGAGCCATAATTCCACTATGAAGGACCCAAAGCTAGAGGAAGAAAATTGGGACCTGGGATCATGTGAGTTTACGGCCGATGCTGAGAAACGAGGAAACGGGTTCACAATTGTGGAGAGTGTGGAATGGTGCTACTCTGCTTGGCCTTCATCGATGAATTCCAGCTTTAATAATAATGAATGGCTGAATTGGGAGTGGGAAGATGATGGGGTTTTAGGTTAAGGGCTCTAAATATAATACTCCCAATGGGGAAAGGAATAAGGTCAATAGGCTCTTCAAATTTGCTGTAATAAGGTCAAAGTACTGTCCTTGAAAATGACCAGTGTCCCCCCGGACAATAATTATTTTATCTCACCGAATTTCATGTTCGATAGAGTCTAAGATTCTTCTAGTTCCGCCCTCGTGACCTGCAGAGACATATCAGACCAGGAATTGGTTAATATCTACATTTCATTCATTCAAATGAGAAGAGTTTTACAAAGTTCACGTATTTGATCCACCTGTTCAAGTCCACGTGACAACAGTTATGACTCCCCCACAATTTGAATTTCTCTAGTTTAAAGTAAAACGAAATCATTTCAATTGAAGAATTGGTTGTATTTCGTCCTTTGCTCTCGGCCAAGGAACAACAAAAAAAAAAAAAAAAAAAAAAAAAAAAAAAA